GGCAGGGTAGATGTGTCCCTGGTGAATTTCTGAGACTGTTAACTCTTTTATCTTTCTTCTGCAGAGCGGCTGGCAGTTTCCAATTACTGACCTTGTTCAATGCTCAACTCACTATGCTACTACGGCTTCTTTTTTTTACTTCCAAGCACAGTATCCGGACATTTGTTGAATAAATTTTATCAATAATTAAAACAAAACTTCCACACCGGGTGGCATTAAGTTTAGGCCTGGATATCCATATTTTGCGTAATTTCGTAGCAACTGATTTCTCTTTCCCTGACTAGTTTTCCCACCGCGGAAAAGTTCCACCTGGAGATTCAGGGTGGGAGGAGAAAGCTAGGTAAAAAAAGAGACGCCAAAAAAAAAGAGAGGCGACTGGGAGAATGCAGCTGGAACACGGAATCAGAGTGTTGATCTTTAGCGTCCTCCACTGGAAGATGGCACCGTGCGCTCCGCGTGGGACAAAAGGAGGGTGTCCACTGCCTTTTTCTTCTGTTCGGAAAGATGACGAAGCTTCGAGACGCCAGTAGCGTCTGAGAGCTCACTGTGCAGCAGCTCGGGTCCGGGGAGCGCGACGCTAGGACGGAGCCTCGGGGACGCGCAGGCTCCTCCCAGCACCTGTCGCGTCGTGCCCTGGAGGGGCGGGGCCAAGCCGGGCCTCGGCGGGCCCCGCCCCCGGGAGGCGGACACTGGGCGGGTCCCCGCCGCCCGGGATTGGGCACGTCTCCGCGGGCGCGCGTGCCCGCGCGGCATGCTGGGAAGGCGGCCGCGCGGCGGCCATTTTGTGTTGTCGGCTTCTCTGTGGAGGAAGCTTTTCGGCCTGAGAGCGGGCCTAGGAGGCTGCCAGTGGGGTCGCTGGTGTTTTTCTTTGACGGGTGCCAGGGCAGGGGGGAGCAGCCGCCCGAAAAAAGCACCATGATTTCGGCCGCGCAATTGTTGGATGAGTTAATGGGCCGGGACCGAAACCTGGCCCCGGACGAGAAGCGCAGCAACGTGCGGTGGGACCACGAGAGCGTAAGTCCCGTGGGCCCTGAGCCTGTGCCCGGGCTCCGTGGGGGAGGGGAGCAGGCGTGGGCCGGGCCTGCGGGGTGTGGTGTGGTTCGAGAGGACAGGGCCCCGACGTGGGGAAGCGGGGTGCTTGTGTTGGTACCCGGGAAATCAGAGATGCCCCGGTCGGATTGAAAACGCGCCTTGTTGAGGCTGTGAAACGCGGGAAGGGGAGGGCGTGAGTGTTCACCCCCCTGTGAAATGGGGGAAAGACAAAAGTGCGGTAGTGGGAATGGTCAGGGAGGTCCTATTTCGGGCCCTTATTTGAGGACATGGAAATTTAAAATAAGTTCTACCGAGATTTGTGGTGTTGATACAACTAGTGATAAACGGTATGCTCTTTTTTTTTGGTTTTTTACATCAAACTCAAGTTGGATGTTTTTATTCTTAGAAGTTTGGGTAAATAGCATAAGCCTCGTCCCACAGGTGAGACTTGCGAGGCTCACGCCAGGTCTCTTGACAAGTTACGGTGGCGAAACTAGCCCTAATTTTCCCGCTCCCTAGTGCTGGACACTTTCCACAACTCTGGGAACCGGCCCTCTGGTAATAACTTTCAGGTGTTGCAAATGTTTTACTCTGGTTTCGAACCTTCAACGTGTCATTGATTTTTCGGTCTTGGCTGGAAAATGTTTCGTTTTTACTTTGCCATTATAGTCAAACCACTTGGTAATTTTAAAGCATTGTTAATTGCAATATAAAGGTAGCGACTTAAAATAAACCATTAAAAATTATTTGCTATTATGCTGGATACAATTGATGTATGGAATATTGTAAGACCTGTAAGAGCCCCCAAGAATGATTTTTTAAAATCAGCTGCTTATCCTTTTTCTGGTGGACTTTGGGATGCGTGGCGTAGTGGTTACGTGTTGGGGCAGAATCGCAAGGTCACTAGTTCGAAACCAGGAGCTCCGCGGGAGAAAGAAGAACCCTTGGCTTTATACTCCTGTGAAGAGTTACTGCAAGTCTCGGTTCTGCCCTGCTTTGTAGGGTTTCCATGAGACGGAATTGATGCTGTGGCAGTGAGGTGGTGGTGGTTTTGCCTGAGTGTATATCTCTTGGCAGTGTTGGAAAAGAAGTTGCTATCAGAGTCCGTTATTACCTGATTCCAAAATAATGTGAACGTTTTCTTAGGGTAGAATTAACTGTGTGCATTATTTACTACGTTCAATCACATTGGTCATTGATCTCAAGAAGTTTGAATGGTTTGGTTTTTTGACTTTGCCCACCCAGTGTCAGAATACTAAGTGACCTTACTTGTCTTGATCCTCTTTACTTTCACTTTCTGGCATCTGTCTCTGCCACCATAAAGTGACTTTAAGCCCCCCTCTCCCCCACCAAACTCGGTAACCTAAACTTTGCAAAGGTGAAGACCCCCACCCCACCCCAATTACATGTAGTGTACAGATCGGACATTTATGTATTTTGAGTAAACTGGAACTCAGTGTCATCGAATCAATTCTGACTCATTGGGATGCCTTTTTTTTTTTTTAATTGTCCTGCACATAGATGCAGCAGCCTTATGTCGGGGCCCCTTTGGCCTTGGACAGCATTTGCTGGGAGGAAACAGTTTTGGTTTTTATTGCATTATATGTGGTGGGCTTATAATATTGGCTGTGGTGAGGCAATGTAGATTTTAAGTCTGCCAAAATAATAGAAAATCTGCTTTCTGTTTTAGTGCTTGTCGCCAGAGTATTTTATGTCTTTAATGACAGGTTACATCCCTTCTAGATTTGGAAAAACTCAATTACTAATCTATCAGATGCTTATCTGCAGGGAAAGTTGGTGGTGGTAACTAGGAACAAAGCACATGGCCTTTCCTAAATAAGGACAGTGACTGGGCTGTAGTGAAAGCTCGTGACATCACATCCAGGTCTTTGTGTAGGTATGCTGTTGGTTGTTACTTTAACCCTGGAGGGATTTACAGCCCAGCACACCTTCTAGGTTTCACCTTCACTGAGTGAAGGCCTGTGTTGCAAAGTAATTTTGTATTGCTAATTTCATCTGCAGCTTTTTATTTGTCACATTGCTCCTGGTAGATAGAAAAAGCCCTTTCAGCGGGGTGGAGTCCTTTGTGTGCTGTCCAGTTTCAACTCAGAAACCTTCCCCATAGGGTTTCCTTAAACTGTAATCTTTTTTTTTTTTAAACTGTAATCTTTAAGGGAGCAAATCACCAGGTCTTTTTCCTGCCGTGGTTGATGAAATAGAGATGACCAGGTGCAATGGTTTATTAAAAAAACTTTGGCATCTTTAGAAAAGTAACAGAATGGAAACTTTTCTATAGTGTTAAAAGTGGTAGCTGGTAATGCCAGGGGCTCAAGTGGAGAGGAAATGTTTTGAGAATGATGAGGGCAGTGAGTGTACAAATGTGCTTTACACAATTGATGTATGTATGAATTGTTATAAGAGTTGTATGAGCCCCTAATAAAACGATTAAAAAATAAAATGAAAACTGGTAGCTGGATTATTTGGATCTGAATCATCCATGCAGATATCTAAACCTCACTCCCAGAGATTACGATTCTATGGTACCAGGGAAGGGACCAGATATCAGACCTTTTTTATTAACCAGGTTCCTCTTGTGTTTTCTAAAGTTTGTGGACCACTACTTCCTGGGTTAGGGGGTTTTTGGTGTGTTTTTTTGGTAGGGTTTTTTATTTTGGTTGGTGTTAGTTTGGGTACCTGCGAGTTTTATATAAAGGGTAAGAAAACATCCCAACCGAGTGCTGCCCAAGCCCACAAGTCCCAACATTAACCCATATGTCCAACACCAATCCACAAAGTTCTCCTCCATCTCACAAAACACACAATGACTGCAGGAGGAAAGCCCAGTCAGTGAGTGTGTAAGCATCTCAGCGCTGGCAGGGGTCTCCGCACGGCTGCTCCAGCACCCAGGGCTGCATCGAGGTAGGTCCATGTGGCTTCTCCTCAGGGATGTCTTGCAGGAGTGAGCCTTGCCAGCTGAAGCAGGGAACTGGCTAAACCAGCTGCACCCTGGTCCAACCGACCACCACAAAGCAGGAGACCCAAGAACTAGAAAGGCGAGGCTCACTGAGCCATTTATCCCTCCGCCTTTAATTAACCTCACATGTGTTTATCAGCCAGGTTGATACAATAAACTACCTACCTCAGTTGATTTTGTAGCTGTGCACAACTACATTTTTTGTTGTTAGGTGCCATTGAGTTAGTTCTGACCCGCAGTGACCCTATCACAACAGAACCACTTGTCCCATCCTACACCAGCCTCATGATTGTTCCTGTGCTTGCGCCCATTGTCAGTCCATCTTGGTGAGGGCCTTCCTCTTTTTCCTTTTCAATCTTTAAATGGTATTAAAATGGTAGTGGCTTTTGAAACTGTATTTTCCCCCCTCTTCTGGATCAAGGAGCCCTAGTGGCACAGTGGTTAACCATTTTGCTGCTAAGTGAAAGGTTCGTAATTTGAACCCATCAGCTGCTCTGTAGAAAAAAGATGTTCCTTCCGAGGCAGTTCGCTGTCTTACAGGGTCACTTGTAGCTCTGGTGGTGTAGTAGGTTATTCATTGAGCTGCTAACTGAAAGGTCAGTAGTTGGAAACCACCAGCCCACCCCCAGGGAGACTATAAAGAGTTACTCTCAGAACCCACAGTTCTACTCTGCCCTGTAGGGTGCCTTTGAGTTGGAATTCAAGATGGCAAGGAGAGTTGAATTGAACAAGGTCACCCTGAGTACTATCTGACTGGATAGCAATTGGGTTCCAAGTGGTACTTGGAGAAGTTCTTTAAGTGGGGGATAGATCTGTAATGCAAATGCCTTTGTCTGTGATAGTGCATATGTACAACCATTATCAAGGCTGAGGCTCTGCAAGTCCTCTATTGTGGCTTGTGTTTTTTGTGTGAGTGTGGGTATAGTGGAATGCTGTCTCTACATATCAGGAGGGTGGAGGGACGGTGAGGGAGAAAGAGGGAACAGGTTACAAGCTCTACATATAGCCTCCTCCCTGGGGAGCAGACAGCGGAGAAGTGGGTGAGGGAGACAGACGTAGGACAGTGTAAGATATGACAAAATTTTAATAATTTATAAATTAACAAGGGTTGGGGGGGAGCAGGGCGGGAGAGGAAAAAATGAGCTGATACCAAGGGCTCAAGTAGAAAGCAGGTACGTATTTGGAAAATGATGGTGGCAACATGTACGAATGTGCTGGACATAATTGATGTATGTATGGATTGTGATAAGAGTTGTATGAGCCCCTAATAAAATTATTTTTTAAAAAGTATTTTCAGCTTTAATATGGTTCCTGGGATTCACTGACACCCACTATCACCTATTTGTATTTTGCATTTGCTTGAAATCATTGCTGTTAAGCCCCAGATAACAGCAATAATTTTGTCATTGCCTTCCTTGAGTACTTTTCACTTAGGGTCTGAGTTGGGAGATTTCTGTGTTTTGCTCAAGAAAATGTAAGTAGCTGTGCTACTAGAAAAGAGCCCAGGTTGTGCAGTGGTTAAAGCTTCAGCTAATAATGGAGAATTAGGCTCTTTAACCCCCAGCCTCTCATAGGGCGAAAGACAGCTGCTTTTGTCAAGGGTCATCTCTGGGAAATCCTGTGGGGTAGGGTAGTTGTGCTCTAGTAGGTAGTTGTGCGTTGCCTGAGTTAAGAATGTACTCTATCTAGAGCAATGTGTTTGGTTTTATACCACTAGGCTAGTTAATATTGTTCTGAAAGTAAATGAATTGTATATATTATTGAAAATATGTACTTAAAATATACTTGTATTGTGGGTCGTTCAACTTGATTTTCTCACAGGGAAAAAGGTAGCTTAACACTGACTTTTAAAATTAGTACAGTGCTTCCTATCATTTCTTTCCAGTAAGTAGGGGAGGTTCCTGTGTTCATTTGATCACCAAAAGTGTACTCTTATGTATGTGTAACAGAGTGGTTTAGACATAAGCACGTTGGTCTGGTGGTGGGTCTGAAGAGTAAATGTGCCTTCATAGTATGGTGTCCTAGTGCCACAGTGGGCGAAATACAGGCACAGAAAGTAGGACACTTAACTCAGACTGGTATGCTTAGGGAAAGTGAGTTACTCAGGTCACTCTCATAGTGACCCTTACACCCCCCCCCCCAAAAAAAAAACACACACAAAACAATGAAAAACCAAATTCACCACTGTTAAGTCGATTCCTACTCACAGAGGGTCTAAGTGATCGAGTAGAAACGGGAATTTCCAAAGCAGTTGTTTTGTTTTGTTGCTGTTGTTTTTTTTGGGGGGTGGGGGGAGAGGAGCACACTGCCACATGCATATTTCTACAGAGTAGCCAATGAGTTTGAACAACCAACCCTTGGCTAAGCAGCAGCCTGCACTGAATCACTGTATCTAACCAGGGCTCCTTGCTGCTTACATTCTAAAGAATTCAGTAGGAATTAGAGAAGACAGATATTACTTGTGGGAAGAAAGAGTTGGATAATATGGGGCATCTGGAAATTACAGTGTTATAGTTGGAGTTTTATTTTGTTGGGGGGGCAGTGTAGATGGTGGGCAAGACAAAGACTGTTGGTTTTGAACCTTATTAAAAGTGAATTTACATTGGGAAACAACTGAAGCTTTTAAGCAGGAGAGAGGTTTACTATCTGACTGCTGCAGATAATTACTTGAAATTGCACCAAAAGGTTGTGTAGGCAATAAGTAGAACAGGAGAATGACTGCAAAGATGTGTACTAAAATTGAAATGCATAGGAAATCAATGACTAGCAAGTAATCATGGTATAGTTGAAACATTAAAATTTCATCGGAAGCTAAATGTTTTTATTATATTAATGAAATTAAATATTTTTGGGTTTATCTTTTTAAAACAAATTAACATCTTTTAACTAAAAATAAGATACTTGCTTCTAACCTGTTGCAATTAGAATAAAATATTAATGATAGTGACTGAAAACTAAAGCTCTTTATTTTCCAATATTCCTCAGTTTTAAATGAATATGTACATGAGCCACTCAAGTTTTGAAATAGTATTTTATAATCATTGAGAAGTACATGACAATTAAGGGTGGTCATTTTTAAAGTTTTGAAATTGCTTATGGTTTCTACAAGATTCTAGATTTTAGTCAGGGCATCTGTTCTGGTTGTGAATGTCTATAAAGACATTTATATATGACATAGTTGCTAGATTCAGTAATGTAGCTGATCTGAACATTAGGGCAAGAAATAACTAGACAAGTATTCAAGTGATTTTGTTTCCCGTTTAACAAAAATAAGGCAGGCAATATTTCTAATATTTGGTTAGCTTAGAAATTAGATGCTTACTGTTAGATTCAGGTAGGTATAGAAAGATAAAAATGATAAAATAGTCTTAGTTTGTAGAAAATAATGAATGCGAAAGAGGATGCGGAAAGATGTAAAATTGCTGATGGAACTGTAGACTTGTAAACCGCTATGGAAGTCAGCATGGCACTTCCTTCATGCCAACAGTTGTATTGGCATGTAATCCACATATTAATTTTTCAGTCATATTAAGTATTGTACAATCATTACCACAGTTAATTTTAGAGCATTTTCTCCCCCACGATTAAATAGCCTTTAGAAAGGGAGTTGTGTAATCATATTCCATTCTAGTGCCCTCTCCCACCTTCATTGTTTACTCCTGGAATTCATCATGCTGCCCCTGCTCCCTTCCCCACATCAGTTATTGTCTCTGCATCCTGTAACATCATCGACAGGGGAGGAAGCCTCACCTTTCTCCCTCAAAGCTGGCAAGTTAGTGGTTTCAAACTGCTGACCTTTCAGCTAGCAGCCCAACGTGTAATGCACTGTGGACAGCACCGGGGCTCCTTCCCTGGCACTTCTTAAACAAGTGCAAATATAAGCCATGTACCTTATGATCCAGCAGTTTCTCTCCTGGGTATATATCCTGAAGAGAGAATACGACACAAACAGACATATCCATGTGTGTATTTATTGTAGCAACCTCGCTAATAGTAGAATGGACACTCAAACTCTGGTACATGCATACAATGGAATATTGTGCATCAATAAACAATGGAAACTCTTAAACACCACGACATGGGCAGAATTAGAGAACATTATGCTTAGCAAACTTAGTCAATCTTGTAAAGATAAATATTTAATAACAGTATTTATTATAAGGAAACATGGTTTTCACACCAAAGAATAATACTTTGAGGATTAAAGGAGGCCAGCAGTGGGGGTGGAAACAGAGAGGGAAGGAATGGGTATAGAGGGATGGGAGGGAAAAGAGAATCATATTTATGGGAGGTTTAATGGTATATTATTAGTGATTTATTTTGTTGAGATTAGCTGTATAATATACAAGATACTTAAAAGAAATTAAAGAAAAAACCCCCACAAAACCTAAATGAAACCCAAAAGGATGGTTTTTGTTAAAGTCTTAAGTCTTAGCATTTCTCCAGTTAAATGTGTTATTTATACTCTCTGCCCCATCATATAAAAATTTATTTCATTAGTATTTAAGGAAGTTAATTGTACTTATTTTCTGGGTTTTTTCCCCCACCTCTAATTTCTGGGTTTAAACTATTAAGGAAAGTAAACATTTTTGCCAAAACAGATGTAGATTTAACTTAGAAGTAAAACGTGAGAATCCCTCCTCCCCCTAAGCCATTTGAAAATATATTCAAACAACTTTTTCATATATATATGGTAGGAATCTTTGCCCTATTGGTGCCTATGAATCTACCATAAATTAGCCTTGTTTCCTACAAGTTGTCAAGTATTTTGCCTTAGCAACGAAAATGCAGTGAACAGAATACGTCTTTAAGCCACTTGCATAAATTCCTAGAAAGATCATGACTAGGTTGAAGGCCTGTACATTTTACATTTTCATAGATGTTGTCAAATTGTCCCATGACCCTTTAGTGTTGTGTTCCTAGCACCACATCTAATATCAGATACTGTTTTAATTTTTGATAATTTGATAAATGTGAGATCTGTATAATCAGGGACAATAGGTATATATGGTGACACTAGCTTGTGGTTTGTTCCTGTTCCTCCTCTGTCAAATAAATTCTTAAAGAAATAGTTTAAAAATTGGAATATTGGCATTTTTATAGCAAGAAATTAAAATGAACGTAAAGTTTAATAGCATTTCACATAAGGATGAAAAGTATAGAAATATTTTGAAAAATTATTCAGGTGTAGTGTATATCCAAGAAAAACTAAACTTATGGCCTATAATAGGGTGTTCAAGGCTAAATCTAGAGCAGAGAACGCTTTATCTTTCTCTAGGTAGTGGCTGATGGGCTTGAGTCTCCAACTTTGTGGTTAGCACCTTAAGCTGTAACTCCTTATTAAATGTATTTTTTAATGTATTTTAAAAAGCCAAAAGCTCACTGCCATGGAGTAGATTCTGATTAATAATATCCCTCTAGAATTGAGTAGAAAGCCTCATTGTTCCCTTGTGGACTGGCTGTGAGCCCAACGTGGAACCCACTGCTACTGGGGGACCATACTAAGTGTATAGTCTCTATTTTAAATAATGTATTGGTAAGAAAAATCTTAAAAATTAAGAACTTTGAGGAAAAGATAATTGTATAAAGATACTAAAGACAGTTTATAAACAAGTACTATTCACATAAACTAAATATTTATTAATTATGGCTTTTTGAGTGCTAGGTGTTTTAGACTGATTCTAAAGTTCTAATCTGTACATTGATCTTGGTTTATAACAAAGAAGGAAAACAAAGGATTTTTGCTTTTATAATTAATTTTTTCTGTTATGTTTAGGTTTATTTCCTGTATTTGTTATTGATATTGTGGGAGGAGTGGGTGGGGTGAATGTTTATAGTAGAAAATGGTGGCAACAGCCAGTTATGCACGTTTTTCTTTTTCTAAAATCTAGTAGTCTCAAAGTCATTACTCAGTTTACTTAACTGATAGTGTTAACAGTTTTGGTTACAAAGAAAATAGTTACTTAACATCCTTCTTTACTATATATTTTTAAGACTCAGTAATTAAAATAGAAACGTTAAGTACTTTCTTTCCCCCCACTAGGTTTGTAAATACTATCTCTGTGGATTTTGCCCTGCGGAATTGTTTACTAATACACGTTCTGATCTTGGTAAGTGCATCCCCCCCCCTGGTGTGTTTCGTCAAATTTATGTTTTTAACTGGTTCTTTAGAGTTCTGAAAAAAACTTTTTTAAGGTTTGGTGATAATTTGCTTCTTGGATTAAAATTTTTAAATGTATTAATAAATGCCAGTCTGATTGAACATGGTGATTTAAACATACATGTTTATTTCCACTCCCTCCCCAAACCTCACTAAAAAATGAAAAAGAAAAAAAAGTGTAAATGGAAGCGGATATCTTTAAGATGTCAACAAATTTTGGAAAGTGACAAGTGGATGGAAGTGTTAACAGCAAACTCAACAGAACAGAGAACCCTTGATCCGCAGAACCCTGGACAGGCTCAGAATTTGGAGGCACCAGGTACCATAGAAGGCAGTGTTGAGTTATGGGGGCTGAAAAGAAGAGAGATTTGTCTAGGTTAGCATTTCACTTGACTATTGACTATAGAGTAATTCTTCATCATGTGTGCAGGATGATTAGCATCCTTGACCTTTACACAACTAGATGCCAGTAGAAATGACCAGAAATATTACTAGACATTGCCAAACACCTCCTGGAAAACTACTTACTCCCTGGTTGGGTAGACTCCCTGGTCCTGTGCATCTGGTGATCCAACTTCCCAACTCATTCTACTGGAGAAGGACTCATAGTGATCTAGCTGGGGTTTCTGAGTCTTAGTAAATCTTTATGGGAGTACACAGCCTCATTTTTCTCTCCCCCCACCAAGGAGCAGCTAGTGGGTTTGAATCACCAGCCTTGGTGGTTAACAACAGTTAATCTGACAGTGCCACCAAGGCTGTTTTTACTAGATATTAATAAGTATTTTCTAAGGTCTCGCAAGGATGTATATAACTAGTACCATTTTGGATGCATACGAGAGAAATTCCTATTCAGGCTGCTTGCCTTTTACGTATTAAGATCACATTAGAAGATCAGCTCCTGAAAGAGAGGAGGTCTTATTCTGCCTGGCTTTCCTGTGGTGAAGCAGCGGAAGGACTTGAAAATAAAACAAGGTTGACCAATCCTGCCTATACACTATACGGACCAACTTCGAGTCATATTTTTAGATCTGTCTTTTAAAAATCAATTGCCAACCAAGGAACTCCAGCTAGCCATTTGAAGAAAACCTTAGGCATGAAAGATTAACAAAAATCAACAGAGAAGTACTTTAGTGGAATTGGAGATAAAAGTAAATAGCGGAAGAAAAAATTCAAAACAAAAAAACTAAATATTTTCAGAGATAAGATACTCTATCAGAGAGAATATTAACAGACCTGACCCACTGCCCTTGTGTTGATTCTGACACTCATTGATCTGTATAGGGTTTCTGAAATTTACATCTTTACAGGAGCAGCCAGCCTCATCTTTGTCTGGAGTGGCTGATGGGTATAAACCATCAACCCAGTGGGCAGTCCAGTACCTAACCTGCAGTGTCGCCAGAGCTCTTTATTAGACAGCATCGGATGCTATCAAAAGGGAAGTTTTAAAGCACTAAAAAGAACTGAGAAATTTGAAACGGACAAATAGGAAACCAGTGGAACAACTTGAAAATGAAACCACAGAAATTTGCTGGAATGTTGATAACAGGACAGAAAAGATGAAAGGAGTTTAGAAATTCTAATGCCTGTTGAATTCTAGACAGATATCAGGAAAGGGAGGAAATTATCTAAGAAATGTCGTAAGAAAAATGTTCTGTAGAAAAGAAGATATGAATGTATCTTTCAAACGCTCAGAATGGTTGAATGATAAAAGGTTCACGCATAGGCATTCACTGTAGAACTTTGAGTTATAGGCAGGCGCCACTGAAGTAAAGTGAGTCACATTCGCTTCTTGTTTCCCAGTGCATGTACAAGTTGGGTTTCTACTATACTATGTTAAGTGTGCAACAGCATTATGAAAAGGTTTGAAATGTTTTGAATATTACCAAAATGTTACCCAGAGACAAAGTGAGCACATGCTGTCGAAAAATAGCACTTTGTAGATTTTTTTTTGACACAGGATTCATGATTGACAGACCTTCATTTTGGTTAGAAAGAAACGTGCCATTTGCGAAACACACTAAAAGTGTATGAGATTAGGGTGAAGGTCACAGGATGTGACCAAGTAGCTTGAGACGTAGCAAGTAGCAACACTGACACATGAGGTTGGAGAAGTACCCTCAGGACTCTCTAGGTGAAATAAATGTCTTACCTAGGTTGTTTATATAGCCAAAAATTGGTATAAGGTTTAAAAACACATTTTCAAGGTCTCAAGATGAACCTCTTCTTAGGAAACTCAGAATATGCGTGGAAACTAAGGAGAAAAACAACCCAGCCAACTGCATCCAAATACAGAGCAGAAAAGAAACTTCTCAGGACGACTAGTGTACTGCAGGCTTAGAAAATAAGCAGAACAGAGGCTCATGGAAACAGATTCTCAAGTTTTTTGAGTGTTGTGGGAAATTAGTATTGAGATCATTTTGTACTGAATTGCAGTGGCTGAGAAGAAATTGTAGATGAGGTTTTGTTCGGTTCCGTTGAGTCCATTCTGCTCGTAGCAGCCCTGTACACACAACGAAACACTGCCTGGTCCTGCGCATCGTCACCGTTCTTAAGCGGGAGCCCATTGCTGCAGCTGCGGTGTCAATCCATTTTGTCAAGAATTGTCCTCTCTGCTTCCTCTCAACTTTACCAAGCATGCGGTCCTTTTCCCACGGGCTGGTATCAGGTTTTGTCACAACGTACCTTTTGTTTGGCTGGGCAGTGAAAAGTGCTTAATCAAAATGTACAGTACTGATTTAAGCTAATATTTTGATGTCTGACATTGATAAATTCAGATAAAGCAAAGTAAACCTAGAGTTTATAAATGAGGTGAATTGCAATAAAAACAACGGAAAGAACTGAAATTCATGCTTTTGGGGCCCTAGTTTTCTGCTAGTTGACTTTATATGTAGGTGTTTGAAATTAATGAAATATCGGTGCTTCAAACCTGTGATCTACTCACTTCACAGTGTTCTGTAGTGACAATAAAGAACAGGTTTCTATTTTTAAAATGTTTTCTCCCCATTGTACTGACCTTGAACATTTAAGAGTGGATATTCATGCATTTTTGGCATATTGCTTCACTTTCTAGTATTAATATTTTAGTTTATTGCCTATTCTGTGGTAAAGTGGACCCTTTCTCCTTTTTAAAAAGAAAAAATTATTACATGTAGAAGTTACCACAATCAGTGGATATATTCTTATTTCTCATTCTTTTTCTTTTAGGTCCATGTGAAAAAATTCATGATGAGAATTTACGAAAACAGTAAGTTTCTGCTTTTTATTTATTTTTTTAGTTTCTGCTTTTTAAATATTGTCACTTGCTTAACAAGAGGTAAAGTTTGAGGACTTGATCCGAGTTCAGGCTCACAGAGATCTCGTAAAGTGCTAAAGCTGGTATTCAAGCCTCTAGATGTGCCTGTTTGTAAAACTTATGCTCTTAACAGAAGTTTGTTATATATACCTAGTTTAATTGTCAGCCAAAAATCAAGGCTAGCTAAAACATGAGAATTTGGTTTTTTGTTATTATCAGGTATGAGAAGAGTTCTCGTTTTATGAAAGTTGGCTATGAGAGAGATTTTCTCCGATACTTACAGAGCTTACTTGCAGAAGTGGAACGGAGAATTAGACGAGGCCATGCTCGTTTGGCATTGTCTCAGAACCAGCAGTCCTCTGGGGTAAGCAGGAAATGAATATGTAGGTATTGGTAAAATATTCTTGGTCTCTAAATTCCCAGCCCTCCCATATATTTAAGATTTGTTTTACTCGTCCCTTTGTGTTCTTTTGTACCCCCTTCTATCTTTATTGCTTAAATGTAAATGTTTATTGCTAAATGTAAATGTAAATTTAAATTGATCTTGCTCATTGTAAGATTTTTCTCTTGAGTTTGCTTACTAGTAACTGATGAAATATTAACAGAAATTAAAGATAATTTATAGTTGAACATTTCGGTCATTAGTTGCAAATATTATGTGAGGAGGGCTTGAATATATAATTTTACTTGTTGATAACACACTATCTTACTTTAACAGGCAGCTGGCCCAACAGGCAAAAATGAAGAAAAAATCCAGGTTCTAACAGACAAAATTGATGTCCTCCTACAGCAGGTGAGCATGATAATGCAGTCATGTTAGAAAGTACTGGAATGGCAAATGATAAGAGAAGATGTTCAACATTGCTATTTATTAGAGAAATTCCCATTAAAACCATAACGATGCTATTTATACAACAGAATGACTAAAATGAAAAAGACTAACCATATCAAGTTGATAGGGATGCTCAGGGCTACTGGAAATAATTGCACACTACAGCTGGGAAGGGAAAGGAAACACTTTGGAAAGGAGCTTGAGTCTTTGAAAGTTAAAACATACCACCAGCCATTTCAACCGTAGGTGCTTGCCAAAGAGAAAAGAAAGCAAGTCTACACAAAGAATTTTATATCGCTACTCAGAGTTCCTTTATTTATAATTAGCCAAACAAAAATGGCCAAACTAGAACAATCCAAATGTCCATTATAGAGAATGGATAAATTATGGCATATATTATGCAATTCCAATACTAGTCAGGAATAAAGGAATACAAGCTATGCGATCCATTTATATAAAATTCTAGAAAACGGCAAGCTAGTCTATAGAGATAGAAAGCAGATCAGTGTTATGGGGGACAAAAAGGCTATGAGGACACTTCTCAGGGGTGATAAATAAGTTCTGTATCTGAGTGGTGGTGATTTCACAAGTTTAGGCATATGTGAAATCTTTATCAAAATGTTTAGTTTACTGTAAGTCAGTTTTACATCAGCAAAGCTGTACTACATAAGAGGGGTTAGATAAACCCAAGAAGACTTCAAAAACAAAATTAACCAAACTAACAAACTCTGAAACCAACCACTATGTGCTAGTAAAGAATGGGGAAAGAAAGAAAATACTTAGGATAATTTGATTAGGAAGGAGGGTTGACTGTGCTTTTTCTTTTTCCTCCCATAGATTGAAGAACTAGGATCTGAGGGAAAGGTAGAAGAAGCCCAGGGAATGATGAAATTAGTTGAACAGTTAAAAGAAGAGAGAGAATTACTTAGATCCACAACTTCGGTGAGTAACAATCTCAGTTTCTCAGCTTGGTCACTGAAAATTACTTGGAATTTTTATTATTGTGCAAGCACCTTTAATCAGAGTTGATAATCCACATAGTGGGTTTTTTTTTTAAAGATCATTTTATTGGAGGCTCTTACAGCTCTTAGAACAATACATACGTCAATTGTATCAAGCATATTTGTACATATGTTGCCATCATTGTACATATGTTTCATCATTATACATATGTTGCATCATTATCTTCTAAACATTTAATTTCTATTGAGCCCTTGGTATCAGCTCCTCCTTCCCCCGCCCTTGTGACACCTTGGTAAATTATAAATTATTATTTTCATATCTTAAACCAACCACTGTCTCCCTCCATATAGTGTTTTAAGTCTGCAGGCCATAGGTCCCTGACAGCCGCTGAGTTGTGTGGTGGTATGGCAGCATGGACAATACTTAAACAAATGGGTGGAGTTATATTCCAATAAAACTATTTTATTTATAAAATCAGGCTTCTGGCTGCTTGTTTGCCAACGCCTCTCTCAAATCATCATAAGTATTAACTGAGTCTGTATTTAAATTATATACACAAGGGGATACCCCAAAACCGGAATTTTTTTTCAAGCTATGTATTTAATTTTTTTTTTTTTAAATAAAACCATAGCACCTTCAAAGGACTCTCCATTACACTTAATATATTTGTCA